AGCAGGCATGCAGGAAACAGACTGCAGAGGCATGTGAGCAGTGCTTACCCCTGGGTGCCTAAAGGAAACCTGTGTTGGGATGAGAAGCAACTGAGCTCAGTCAAGATAGGATTGGTTCTGGTAGGAAAAGCAACACATAAGAACAACTAGTCATAACCTCACTCTTAGGTTAAACTGAGGGAGAGACCAGCTTCTTCAGCTATTAAAACTGTTCGCAGGTTCAAGAACGTCTACTGCTTCACAATGCCTAAGAGAAGTTATCTGAAAAACATCCTCCATTACCAAATGCAGACTTCTTGTTATAGACTTCAGTTTTGCCTGTAGACGTCTTTTAAGTTTCATCTCTGAAAAATACTATGCTGAGAGAGAGACAGAAGGCCCAGGAAACCTAAAAAGAGGAGTGAGAGGTCTCCAGATGAATAATGCCATTTTTAAACAGAATGAACAGGATACAATGGAAGAAGGTGATACAACCTCATTACTTAAAGTATTCCCTGCAGCCTGTGTGCTCCTTTCAGATCCCATTCTTCAGAGATGGGAATGAGTTTCTGACCATTAGTGACCTGGAAATTTGGTTTTGTTCATTCCAAGACTGTGGCAGCTGAATTGACAAGATGAATTGAAAGCAAAATAGCAGTTACCAAGTGAGTGGTCATACTTTTGGTTCCTTGTTCCTAGGAGACTGAAATGACCGTGAGCACAGATCTTACTTGTACAGGAAAAGGTTAGACTTGAAGTTGCTGGACCTTTTCTGCTATAAAGTATTGAGAGAAGTTTTTTATTTTTTCCAAGCTTCAAAGGAGGAGTCCTTATCATTTAATGCTAGTTAAGCTACTTGATGAACCTCTATCTCTGTTCAAAATACTCAAATGGTAGCACAAAAGGCTGTTTCTGTAAAAATTGCAGGAAATTGGATCTGATTTTTCTTCTTTCCCTCCAGCTTCAAAATCTATGCAAGAAGGCTGGGGCAGTGGTGGGGATGAAGTGAATCTCAGTACTAGTCAGTGGGAAGATGAGGAAGGAGATATGTGGAATAATACTGCTTCACAAGAGAGCAGCTCCTCCTGTAATTCCTGGGGGAATGCCCCAAAGAAAGGACTTCAAAAGGTAAGACAAAAATAAAGATGATCTCTAGAAATAAGTGGAATTAGAGTAACATGACTAGAATCAGTTGTCGTTGCATTACACCTGAACTCTTAAATTAAACCTCTTGACACCTGAACACAAACACAGCTTGCCACTACAGTGGTTCAAGTACCACCTAACTGCTTCCAGGGGAAAATGGGAGATCTTTGACTTTCAGCTGTCAAAAGCTTTGGGAGGTTTTGTTGTTGCTGTTTTTTTCTCTAAGTTGTATCAGCTTCCATGTGTTCTGAAGAAATGCTAATGTATTAACGGAAACAAAAAAAAGGTGTTAAGGGGGCTTTATGACACTTGCCATGGTGGTAGAAAAGCAAACAGTAGTTTGTGATGAAATGGTTCAACAACAACAAAAAAATAATCGGCTTGCTATTTATGAGGAACAAATAGATAATTCTAAGGTGTGTCCTGGTTTGTGAACAAAGCAAACTTGTATTAATGCCACGCTCAACCAAGAACATTTTGCCAATTGTGTTAGGAGGTTTTCCATTGCACAGCCTTTATTTCAGGACAAGGCCAGGCTGTAACTTAAAGGAATTGGGAATGCATTTAGCCAGTTTGTTTGTTATTCCATTAGCCAACAGTTAGGCCAGTGATTTGATCAAGTATGGTTGTTTCTTGTACTGTCCGCAGCCCAAAACAAATCCACGCTTGTCCCTTGGTACTTTCTGGAGAACTGAAAGGAAGAGACTTCTTAAGGATTTTGTGATAGAAAAGCTGCACAGAGATCTTTTAAAGGTGTTTATCTAGACGCTCTTGTTTGTTTTTAAGAAAATACACTGAATAACATTCTTAACTACAAGGTTGCAAAGTCGTTTTTGGGAATGTTTTTCAGGAAGTGTTGTACTCTTTTAGAAATTTTTAATTAATTGCAGTTTTTCTGCCAAGGATTAAAATGAAATAAGTAAATTCAAAGGTGGCTTTAATTCAGTGGTCAGCAAATCAAATACTAAATAGCACACTGAACACCTGTTCAACTGAGATAAAATTTTTACACTTTGTGGGGGAAGAAAATCATAGTTACGTTGTTCGGAGGGTTCTTCAATGCTTTCTAAATTAATCTACTAATACATCTTTCAGTAGCATGTCTTATTAATAAAACAAACTTACCATCTATTTTATGTACATCTCACTAGTATGGATATGGGAACCAGACCATTAATGGAATCTCCCATTTATTTACTAAGGGCATGAAGACATCTAGCAAGCAAGATGAGGCCTGGATCATGAACCGTCTGATAAAACAGCTCACAGACATGGGCTTCCCTGTGAGTAGAGTTCACAGCTAGCACACCTGGGGCTTGGCTGGCCTTTCCAGGCTATAGCTACAAAAAGATTTTCAATCTCTTTTTCAGCATGAGAAATAGCTATGTGACCTCAATTCAGACATTTAATTGCAGAAATCTACCATAAGCTAGTAGAGTGCTCTCTGAGATCACTTGGTGACATACTTTGTGTGATGGCATTTTTAGAACTTCTGAAGTTCAGCTTTAAATAACAGGTGTTACTTTGAACTTCAGTAATAATTGTACTTTTCCCTTTTTATTACACAGGTGAAATTAGAGAATAGCTGGGGTGTTTTTAGAGAAAAAGGCATATCACAGTGATATTTCTGTTGTCTGTAGCAAACAGGAAGAAATGGAAATAAAAAATGATAATTTTGCCTTGTAGAACTGGTACTTGCTTGACATTCTGAAACTCGCTGAATTGTTACTGAAGTTGTTAAAAAGCAGGAAGAAATGTGTGTGGTCATTATTGGTGCTGCTGAGTAAATATTAAATGCAATATTTAAGAGACACATCTGTTTTCTCTGTTTGCTTTGAAATCGTATAAGCATGATGACTTCTTCTCTTAACATAATCCATATCTTTGACAGAGAGAGCCAGCGGAAGAGGCCTTGAAGAGCAACAATATGAATCTTGATCAGGCCATGAGTAAGTACCTGTGTAAATATTTTTTTTTCTTTAAAGCCATACAGGGACCATTCATGATTCTGAGAGTTTGATTTTCCCCAGATCCACTGGACAATATTTATTTCCTTGCTCTTGCTTTTGTAAGAAAGACCTACATCTCTGAACTACTGTTGGCAAATTGATTGGTTTTGCTCCACTTCTTTATATATATATATAAAGACCTACATCTCTGAACTACTGTTGGCAAATTGATTGGTTTTGCACCACCTCTTTATATATATATATATATATATGTATATATATATATATTTCCTTTTTCTCTCAAGGTGCTCTGCTGGAAAAGAAGGTGGAAATGGACAAGCGTGGAATGGGAGTGACCGACTATAATGGAATGGTCACCAAACCCCTTGGCTGCCGCCCACCACCAATCTCCAAAGAGTCTTCCATGGACCGCCCCACCTTCCTTGACAAGGTAAGCTCAGGTGTATGGATGTGATAACAAGTGAAAACTGCACACTGGGTAGAAATATTGCTGATTTCCACTGTCTGTTTAGAAGGTTGGAGAGAGAAATGTGATGGAAATTACATACGGCTTGATTCTTTTTTTCTCTTATTTTTTAATCTTGTGGGGAATTTAGTCCTTTAGGAAAGGACCAGTGCTTTGATTCCCATGTGGAACTGAGCAGTAGTCATCATGATGCCCCAGTGTGACACTTGAAAAGAAAACTTAGTATAGAATCAGTAAAGCAATGGAACTAGAAATGGCAAAACCTAAGAAACAATGCAGAAAGCCTTTGACTCCGTAAGAGTCCAGAGAGTCAATGAGCCTTGCCCAGATTAATGATTGGGCAGGACCAAGGCTAAAATCTTGGAAGAATCAGGCTCCTAATGCCTGTTATAGTGTTGAGCTCCTTTTAGATTGCAGTTGAAATCTTACTGTACTTCAATAAGAATGAGGAGCTGAGGTATTTTTGTTAAGTCAAAGAGCACACAGTCACAAATAGCTTCTCCAATGAGCTTCTTTCTCTGTGTTCATGTATGACAAATTTTCCAGCACTATTTAATGGCTGAGGAGAAGGCCTCAGATGTTCATGGTGTCCAATATTTAAAGTGACTAAATAAAAGAGTGTAGGCAAAAGTGCAGTCAGGTCATCAATAGGAGATGAGATTTGCATGAGTCATATAAAGAGACCCACCACATCACCTCAGAATTCCCTTCAAATCATGAATGAAGAAAGAATAGACTCTGGTGCCATTCATTATTTGAAATACTGGTACAGATGGAGGTTGGTGGTTTCTGAAGACAGAAATCAGTGCTTTTCACAAATTGTGCTGAAACCAATTCATTTTACATAAGCTGTTTACAGGATAGGAGGCACTAACAACTTGTTAACCCACACAGAGTGTATTAAAAACTTCACCAACCCTGGATAACTATCATCTTTCCTACCCTCCACCCTGTGTTTTCATCTAGTTTTAACTCTAGCATTAACCTTCAAGTTCTGGTTGGTGTTGCGACAGGTTCCCAGGTGTTATGCTAGGACACCTGATAGATACTGACCTTTTCATGACAACTATTACTTATTTCTGCTGTGATCACAGTCCAAACAGTTTGCTGAGTTTTTTGAGTGGTACAATGCAAACTGTAAAACAAGTTAATTTGATTAAACACAAATGGATCATATGTAATTACAGGTTATTTCTGTTAATAAGGAAACATTAGCATCTGTATAAAGTTTACTTTAGAGGGTCCTTACATACCAAAAGTTTTTGTGATAATTCAAAAGCTGCCACAGTGTTGAGTAATCTAGTGTCATGGCAGTACCCTCTAAATGCTATATATTAGAAAAGTGCTTTTCTGCTGTTGGAGGAATTAATAACATTTGTTCCTTCTTGGCTGTCTACTTACATAGGAATGATGTGGTGTCCATTCATGTGTTGGGTATTTCCTACTTAAAAGCCTCAACCTGGCTCTTCTTTCTTCTCCTTTCTCTTCCTGCCATGTAAATTTCATTCTTAACTATGGCACATCTAGTTGTTTATGGCAAACTTTTAATGAATATGTTAATTGAAAGATCTCTCTCCTGATGAAGGTCACAAAATTAATGCGTGCATGCCAGTTAACCTTTTCTTTTCTAGGGTAACAATGTCTTGAGCAGTAAAATTACTGCCAGACAGAGAGGTGCATTATGTGCAGCATAATGCATAATTATGGAAACATATGTTAAACACAACTATTGAGAAGTTGTGAATACTAAAACCATTAATATTAATATAGCAAGTAGAACCTGTCAGTCTAGGCATAATCTGTCGCAGTGACTTGACTACAACAAAGGAAGTAATTCCAAACTGTATTTGTTATCTATGGGAGCAACTTGCTAAGTGAATTTAACAAATATAGTCCTACTGTTAAGACTAGATATGTTTTTCCAAAGAAGTTATTTTCAGATTTACAGCTCATGCTGCTAGAGGAACTCCTCCAAAACCTTTCTGCCCTTTGAGGTACTACTTCAGAGCCTGAAGGTGTCCTGCTTCCTGCTCAGGTGATCTTTGGTCAGTGAACAAGCCCTCTGCACAGCTGCACAGAGCACTCCAGCCAGTGGTCCTTATTTTACTTACTGTCTTATCTCAAATCATGATCCTTTTGCTGAGCTTTCCTGAGTCTTAAAGAAGTCATGTGAGGTTCCTCTTGACAAAATTGTAAGCTGGGTTAGTGTGCTCGTTGCTACCCCTCTTTCCCAGCTGATTCTCTCAGCCTCTCTGCTCACCTGAGTTTAGTCTGCATGATTATTTTCTTATATTTTCTCTGACAGGTAAAGCCAGCACTTAGCTCTTTTTTTAACCTTACGCATTTGAGAAGAGAGAATATCCAACCCTGACGTTTGCTTTGGACCCGTTGAATTCCCTTTTCTCTCTGGATTAGTAATGGCCAGTGCAACTAAAGCTTTGAGTGTTGCTTTGAGTGGTTCCTCAACACTTGCTGCAGATACTCTTTATTCCATGTCACAGCTCTTCTTCTCTACTGTTAGGAATTCCAGGTCAACAAGTCTTGATGCCTGTTGGCTGCAGTTGTGTTCATCCTAAAATATTCCAACTAGGGTTTTTCCTTGTTTTTCAATCAAACATAGTGTTTGTTGGATTTATTTTTTTTTTCAACCTTACCCTTCACATTCTAGTCCCAGTTGTCTCTGCTGAGAGTGGTTGCTCTTTGTCTTTGGGATAATGAATGGGATATTTTAGCATTATGCAGGAACACTTGTAGGCCTTGCAATTGGATGGTGGTCCCCAGGATTTTAAGATTGACTTAAATTATTCTTCCCTCCATCTCAGCTTCCTGTGATCGACTGATTGTTTCTTTTCCTGAACTTCCAAATTTTGAAATCTCTTTCACGTTGTGTTTTCAAAATTAAAAATACCAGTTTCTTTCAGCTCTACCCAACTCCTTTCAGATTTGAAAATAATTTGTTTTGAGGTGAAATTTTGTTACTTTAACTCCCTCTTCTGGATAAGGGGTTTTTTTCTGTTTTAAGAAGTCATTGATGTGTATTTTCTACTAATTACTTCTGTAACTGACTTTGTATATCTGGCAAATTCATCAGCCTCTCATCTGTCTGTTGGAACATTTTGATTCACAAAGTGGCAGTTGTTGGCAAGTGACTGCCAAAGTATCCAGGAATCCTCTGCTAAGTTATCTGTATCTCATAGGGAAAAAAAATCTCATTAATTCCCCTTGCATTCTGTCATATTTGGTACATGAGGCATTTGAGAGAGACTTTCTGAAGTCCTAAAAATAATGCATTGTTGAGCAGCAGTGTGGTGCTTTGTATTGGGTAATTGCAGAAGGAAATACTGCTACTGGTGGGATTTTACAGTTATGTCAAGTCCCTTCAAAAAATTTAAAAGCAGTGCTGGGTTGAGCCTGATTTTGACTATCCAGATATAGGGAATTTGTTTAATTTATTAGCCTGAGTGAGAAACGGAACATACATTTCTAAGAAAATCACTGAAGGGGAAAGGTTAGGAAAAAAGATTATCCTTAAGGAAGCAATTGTTACATAAAAAGCCTGAAAAATAAAGGGTCACAAACCAGTTAGCAGCAAAGGTACTATCTAGTCTAGGTTCAGAATGATGGAGAAGTACTTTGTGTCAACCAACTGAAGTACTTTATGTGAAATGAATTGATTTCAGCTCCACTTACAGAGCACAGATTTGTGCAGCACAGTTGGCACCTTACAAGTTCAAATTGAAAAAAATAGAGCAAAGTAAATGTGAATAATCTGTTATAAACTTGCCACAAAAGACATTTGCTGCATTTCAGCCAAGGAGCACTCTTGTGAAGATGGCCTTGCAGCAAGAGCCTGCCTGATCTGGAAATTAGATGCCTGAGTCTCCAATGTGGCTTGTCCTCCACTGTCCCTGGCACTGCCTGCTTCCAAAATGAGGAAAAAATAATGTCAATGAGACAAGGCTTGAATAAATTTGGGGGCAGGGAGGAACTGCATTTCTCTTTCATGGTCAATAGGCCTCTTCACATAGGAAACAATGGCATCTGAAGGGGAGAGCACGCATGAAGCTTGAAATTATTTTCACTTTAAAGGGGGAAGGGTGGAATTGTAAACATATGTCTGTGATCTAAGGAGAAATCCTTGAACCTGTTACTGTCATGCAAGCTGCAGTTGTTTGTGGAGTGTGACTGATGTCCAGTAGAATGTAAAATATCTTGAGCTGAAAGGCCTTGGGGATATCATTAGAAAATGTCAGTGTCCCCCTCAGGATAGTCAGATAGCATGTCAAGTGTCACTTTGCCTGATAGTAAAGAAACTTTTTCTTTGCATCAAAGGAGAGCTGTTGAAAATGCATTTTTCAGGATTAACTTAGAACATAAAATTTACCGAGCATGGTTGCTGTGTTAGGTCATTTGTTTGGGTATTGGGTTAGCAGAGTGGGCTGCTTTTTTAACAAAAGGCGATTTATCAGTATCTCACAGTCTTCTGGGGCATCACATTTATTGGTTGAAATAACCTAGCCTCCTCACCTATTTAAAAGCCTTACATTGCAATGAATATATTGGCTGGAAAACACCAGTCCCAGCATATTGCAAATTAAAGATTTTTCACTCTGCCCATTTTTTTGGGGAGCTCTACTTTGTACACAGTGTTATTTGATCACACTTGCCGCAGGCTTCCCAGACATCAAAGCACAGTTTGAGATTGACCTTGGTACCCCACTGTAATACTAGCTAGATATCTACCTGTTTGATTGGGGATTATATGATTTATTTTATTTTCTGATTTGCTGGTTTCCCCCCCCCCCCCCCGCGGGGGGGCGCATGCCCCCTTCG